GACTTAGTGATCCTATTATTTCTTCAGGCATTCGTCCTCTACGCTAGCCACCACTCACCTATCCTTCTCTGTCTCTGCAGTCTCATCTGCCTCCGCTCTCCTTAGTCCTCCAACCTACATCCTCAATTGCAACTAGTAACAGGTATTCATCGCCCCGTCCTTTGACACCCATTACATCCTGTTTCATGACCCCTATCGAACACAGCCTACTACCAGCACAATGTTCTCCTAAAAAATTTATCGAAAATGTTGGTAAGTATCTCGCTTCCCCTTACATACTCCAGCCTTCAGTCTACTTCTTTTACTTACCGCTAATCATCCACAGATCCACACGTTCTCAGGTCTCATCCATATCAATCAGTTTGGAGTGTAGTCCAACCGACCAGTACATCAAAAGTTGCTATCAGCCTACACACTAAAGATAGTCGTCACCTCTTCCATCAAGCACTGCTGGATATTTGAATCTGTCATCTTATTCATCGCTGGACTTAACTTGATCCACAATTAAGTGACGGATATATGACTTGTAGGAAGTTTGTCTCCTTCCAATGCGTCATAATTACCAACATGGCTTTCGGCCAAGTTAATAATTCTAAGATCTGTCATTCACCTTTAAGGCATGGTGCTGACCCAACGTAAACAAGTCAGTCAAAGTTTAAATTCATTATATGGATTAACACAAATACTATCAAATAAATGACATTGCACATTTTTTTAACATGTGCCAAGACATTTGGCAACGCCATTTCTTTTCTTATTCCTTTCAAACAAAGCTCCAGGAAAAGATAATTTTAACTACTTACGTATATTACTGTAGGAAGAGGCTTGTAGGCCTCCACTTTCATAGCTCTCGTACTTCCAGAACACACAGGCTGATTTGGTTTAGCCTTGCTCATTGAGTAAAGTAAATTGGGAGGAGTAGGTACAAGTATAGGAAGGTTTGGATACAGAACTGTTCTCCGGGATGTCGGATATTGACTGCTCCTCAGTCACCAGTTCCGATTTACCTATCCGCCTCTTCTCTGAAAGGCACATTTTAAACAACGCAAGTGATACACAGCACCCTCATCCTTTCAGTACCACCCCCGATGCTACCACTCGTGAGTTCGATCCAAAGCTGCCATCCAGTGGTTTCCTGCCTTCCGTGAGGACGTAAACCTCATATTAATATACAACCGGTGGTGCCACTTCGTAGGGTCGCATCTTGTTGATGCGAAAGATTACTGGCCGGGTACGCAGTTGTGTGTTGCAGACGAGACAGTTTGTGGGTAAGAGCACTTTCACCACCCGAAATGGGTCCTCACTCGATAGGTGATGGAACTTGTGGTGTATTCCTGGTGCGGAAACCGATCTGTAAATTTGCACCAAATAGCCTTCTCGGTAGACGTTCGTCCGCCTGTGTCGATCACAATATTTCTTCTGCCTAATATGAGGCCGTCGTGAATGTGTGCTTGCGATGTTAAAAGTTTTTTATGCTTTTTTTCAGAAGTGGCATGCATTCTGGTACATTGCCGGCTGCCTCATCAGCGTTTGGCAAGAAAATGTCGGAAGGCACTCTCAATTCACTACCTGTGAGCATCGTAAAAGAAGAAACGCCCGTTTATTTATGAGGTGGAGGCCTGTACGCCAGAACGATACGTCCTACGCTCAAACCTCCATCATCTGGTTGTGGGTCTTTATTGATGGCCTTCAGCAGTCCGATTAGAGTGCAATTCGTTCTTTCTACTTAACCGTTGCCTTGCAGATGTCCTACATAGGTCTTACATAGTTCAGTGAAGAGTCGTTTCTCGAAGTTAGGGTCTTGATTGATATGAGCAAATTCAGGCACCCCATGCTAGCCAGTCCACCAATTGAAGAAAACTGAAGCAACTGTTTCAGCGTCTTGCAACTTCATGACTTCAACCGGATGGTTTTCTGCTTCCACCAGAGGTGGTGGATCACATCCGTGTGATGGCCAGATGGGTCTAGCTTCGCCGGTGTCCATCGCATATTTGTCAATGTTTATTCATCCCATTTTCGCAACTTGTCATGAGAAAATGTTCGCATCTTTAAGCCGGAGCTCACTGAATTCTTTTCTCTCGCCATCAGAACTGTGGGTCAGTTGTGCACTGGGGTCATCTAGATTGCTCATGGGAATGGCAGTGGCTCGAAAAGGGCGTTGCAGATGTCATCTGCGTCATCTGTCGCCAGCAGTCTCTGTGTTGGTCACAGTGACTGGGTGCGTGGAAAGGATTTCTTCTGCAAAATGCAGGACGGCTTTGTTGAAGCCTAGGAGATAAGCACCAAGTATCACGTCCCGGGCAAGTTCTGGACACACAATGAATTTCACTGTATAGCTTTCCTTCCCTATGTGGAATTGAAGAGCTTGAGAGGAAAGGTATAAAACAGAACAATGAACTCTTTGTTGCAGATGTGCACTGGACATTGGGCATGTGAAATGGAAACAGGAAGGAATCGCGCCTTGCAGTGATAGTAATAATGGGCGAATTTGACAGGAATGGAGATACAGGTTGTTGGACTTGAAGGCGTTTAATTAAACATGGCAGGTGAATGTGAGTGGGTGGGTGAATGAAAAGTGGTCACGTGAGGAAGAGTGTGGTGGTAGGGACAGGGAGTAATGTAGTCCACTGTGATAGAATAAGCAGGGAAGTGGGTGTGGAGGCTGGGTGAAGTAAAGGGAAAGGCAAATAAAAGTTGGTGAAATGTGTAAGGTGGAAAAAAAAATGTTGGATGACTGAAGATGTGCGAAGATGAAAAGTGGGGAGAGGCGATAAGGTGGGGCAAAAAGTGCATCAAAAACGGGCGGGTAAGAGTATAACACCAAAAGTTCCCATTGGCAGTTTAGTGACTTTGAATTCATTCAGTGGGATTCTCTGATAGACAGGGATATTGAACGCGACCACTACTAAATTCAGACTGCAAGCTGTTGTGAATTGCAGGAGTGACAGATATACAGATCCACAAGGTGTCGTGGCTATGCTGCAAGGAAGTGAGTCGTTGAATCGATACACGAATGAGTGACGAAAACCTTGACCGATAAAAGTACCTCGAAAGGCAAATCACGTTAACTGGGGGTGGCTTGACAGAACTGAAGAGGAGAAAACCAACATATCGGTCCACAGCATACCCATGTAATTGTTCACTCAAAAAATAGAAAGGCACACAAGTCAGGCAAATTCCAATGGGACCACTGCATCCACATTAGACATCCAGGGAGATACGATATCATGCAACCACTAAATAAAGTTAAGCCGATGTACAGGCCTCTAAAAATGGGGCAGTGACCTGCAATTACAACTCGATCTACACATAGTGCACTGGGGGCCAGTCTTTCCACCTCTTATTAGACCTAGATCCCTATGCAGTGCTAAATTGCAGTCGCGTATCTTCTCAGTTGAATAGAAATTCAATGCTTGTAATGGTGGCACTTGAAGTGGTATTCATGAAAAGGTGGACGAGGTGGTGGGAGTGAGGAGAGCATCCACCACCTCGGTTTGACTTGGGCCCATTTCCCCTTAGAACATCTTCGATATTCCTTGCAATTTTTGTCTTCCTTTTGGGGCTCCTTACAACTGTGTGCGTGTGCGTTCGGACATCTTACAATTTAACCGGACCAAATACTTGTGCCCTTTTGCCGGAGTTCCAAGTCTTGTGGGGTAAGAATAGGGGTTTGGTGAGGAGGAGATGAGAATTGATGTGTGTTTGATAGGGATTGGGGCCCGCGATCCTTGAATTTGGCACTGGACTAGTTCCACTGTAGACTCAACTACCGGAACAAATTACCTTTCTAGCCGTTTTGTATTCTTACCCTCAGCTCTTTCCACAGGTCTAGATGCGGTCCTCTGTGGATCAGTCCGCACGTTCACGTAGTCGTTCTACTACTGACAAGTTTGAAGTGGGCAAGAAGACGAAGCATTCTGTGGGGTTTCAACTGTTGGGTGTTGGTGAGTGCTTCATAAACAACCGTAGCACTCCTTTTTCCAAATGTGCACGTCCAAATAATTTGTGCCTAGCATACCATGACCATTTACTTGTCGGTTTTTAACTGATTAGCTAAAGGTCGATAAACGTGAATCAACTTACCCATACATAACGAACTCACCCTTTGGAATAGCTACCAATGCGATTCATTCAGTGAAAGCCTCTCCCACTAGTTTTTCCAAGGCCTTCGATGGGATAACAGGAGATAACTTAAGGAGGTTCACTTCAACTCACGGATTTGTGGCCACCAAACCAGCACAGGCGAATGGTCGACTTCCGTCTAGTGGAAATAGCTAC